ATATTGATTACTGCTCACCCTACCCACCAAATTCCGCACACAATCTAAAGTTCACAAGAACTCTAGATTAACACTCATTTTCACGTTTTTCAAAAGAAACGAAAAAGTTTTAAATTTGTAACAAAGTCTATTCACCCCCCTCTAGACTTTGTATCTCACCACTTTGGGACCACCAATATATATATATATATATATATATATATATATATATATATAGATATAAAATGGGTTTTGGAGAGAGGGAGGCGTCTGGCGACCGGCGACGCCCTAGATTACAGCGATGGGTTGATCGGAACTGTGATGGTGGTTATCGTCACCGAGGCCATGGATTGAAAAGGGAAGACACTGGAGGAGGAGCATTTCATACTGAGGAGCGTCGAATTGGAAGAACTCGAAAAACTTCACATTCCATCGTCAACCTCTCTTTCAGAATCCAATCCAAAAGGTTTGAATTTCATTTTTCTGCCCTTAACCAGATTATTCAGATCTCAGAAAGGGGGCGATGGAACAACTTTCGATTTTGGATAAATCTTAGTCTTGTTCAGTGGATTAGCTCTTGTTTTGAATTTGTTCTCCAAAATCCTATGGTCACTCGTTGGAACCAAAGCTTTTGTGATGGAAATAGAATATTCAGTTTTGATTTAGACTCAAATGATTCAGGTTTTTTTGTCAAAATTATGGAGAAGCATGTTAATGGTTATACATCTTTTCATGTTCCTGAGGGTTGTAGTAGGTTTGGTTTTAGGTTCTTTCTTGCTCATTTGATTAAGGCGGGGCTTTGGTTTAAGCACAAAACAACTATAGGAAAAGGGATTGTTGGTTTGGTTCTTTCTGATAGCAAGAAGACCACAGGTGAGACTATTTCTAACAATGAGAAGGCAGATGTTCAACTGGATGTGGGCAGAAGTGTTGGAGATGACCTAATGGCCCTCTCTGAAACTAAACAGCCATGTTTAATAGCACAATCAGAAGGTGCAAATCCTATTTGTGTCCCAACTGCTAGTTCTTCAATTCAGGATATGGATGCTAAACTACCACCTGCCTCTTTTCAAAAGGAAGCAACCACCAGTGCTAAAAGTCTACATGCTGAGGATCTGCCTTCATCTTGTGATCTCAAGCCTAGAGGTCATGAGAAACAGAATTCAGATCTGAAGAATTTAACTGGGATAAAGGAACGGACTCCTGATTCTAAAGCCAGTCATCTATTGAGTTCATCTATGGGTGCAGTCAGGGCTTCGAGGACAATTGAAACAGATCAGTGCATAACCAGTGCAGCAAAAGACAAAGGTTTTGAACACCAAATTGGAATTGCAGAGACCCCTAGTGTACATCCTCGCACATTTCCTAGTTGCAGTCCCACAATGACAAATGATCCAGCAGATAGCTCAGGCTCAGTATCTCTTCACAATCTGGTCCAATATACTACCGGTGCATATCGTTCTGTTTGTGACCAACAACCTAAGTCAAGTGTAATAACGTTACCTATTAAGTCAAAGCCTCCTGGAGTCCTCAATGTTCAGGCTCTTCCTTTCCGACCAGCTTTTCAAGGTGTAAACCAACCTAAACCCATTGATCAGAGCAATCATGATGGATCAAATTTACAGAAGGGTAATGGTATCCAAGTTAAACAAGGTAAATCACTTAAGGAGTTGAAGGCATTGTCAATGCCAAAGGAGGAAGATACAATTAAGGCTACTCCACTAAGTATTTTAGACTTGAAATTGGCTTATGAATGCTCTAAGCCAATCAGCCTCATTGATTTGCCCTTGGTAGTGAATGGAAGAGAAGAGTCTCACTGCACGGAGGAGGGGAAAATATCGGATAGTGACGTACAACATGAAGACGACATTGATAATGACCTTGCTTTTGTGGATGAGGATGCAATATTCATGGGTAAACAAGAAAAAAGGAACAAAAATTCTAAGAAGAAATTTGGGCAGCCTACTGACGATAACCAACTTTTGAGAAGTGGGAAAAGAAGCAAAAGAAGAAATAGATGAGCCTTGGATTGATGCTTATTATCGTTTCTTGGTCAGTAGTTTTTCAAGAATGGATCAGTTGCTACACTAATCCAAAATGCTATGTTCTTGTTCAATGCTGGGTTCTTGTTCAATGCTGCAGTTTCCTGTTCAATGATGGGTTCTTCTTCAATGCTGTAGTTTCCTATCTAGTGTTGGGTTCTTCTTCAATGCAGCAGTTTCTTGAGATTTGGAGCTTTGTGGATGTGGTGGAATTTCTGGATGCTCATGTTTACAAGGAGAAGGAACACAATGCAAGACCATAACTCGGGCCATGCTTCTATTTAGTTCTTGCTGGTAGTGAGCTTTAATTATAGTGTTGTTTGACAAGTTATGGGTTGTCTTGTTTCTCTTCTGTTCTGGTCTGTTCCTTTCTTTAGTGTTTTGGATTTTTTCTCCTGTTGTTGCTTTGGGTGTGTGTTGGGGACGGCCACCTCCCCTTATGTACCTTTCTCCTTTTTAATGAATAAAAAACCTCTTGTTTGGTTTTTAAATATATATATATATATATATATATATGTGTGTGTATATATATATATATATGTATATATATGTATATATATGTATATATATATATATATATATATTTGAAAAGTAAAAATATTATTAAAAAGAGGAAAGAAAATACAGGTATAGAGAGGTGGCCAGCCCCAACACAAAGGCCGAAAGAATAAGAGAAAAACATTCATATAAGGACAAAAGGTGAAAGGCCAAAAGGATGAGACTATATTGATCATCAGGAGTAAACACCAGCCAAGTCATTCCAATGCAGGTCCCTGTTCCTCAAAGCATCTTCCATCATCATGTGCATTATTTCCCAGCTCTGTCCTGGTACCTTGTACCTCCGTCCAGACTCAAGGAGCTTCCTAATACAGCTGTTTGAGCACACCGGAGAGGCCAGCCATATACACTGAAGGCAGTGTTGAGAATTGAAAAAAAACCAGTTCTCTAAAGTGGATATGCTCCAACTCCAAATCATTGACATTGGAACCATTACAGTAGCTAAAAGAAATGAGCTAAAGAAACAAACAGTAGGTAGAGATAAACTTAAGCAACATGACAATCAATAAGCATATTCTATCTCTTCCTCCAACCCATAGTCTGAAAATTGAGACTGCTTCTTTTTCTTCTTCATTTTCTTTTTTTGAGTTTTGGTTAGAGGTTTGCTATGTGGTTTAGGATCTTCTGCCTTGTGGGGAAAACAAAGTTTGAAGAATTTGATAACCTCGTCTTCATGGGATTCCTGGGGTTCTAACGAGTCTTCTTCTTCGACCCAGCCGATAGGATTAATTTTCCTTCCTTGCTCAAGGATTTTAGCCTTACTCCTCGTAACAATTTGTGACGGTGAGTACGTCCTTCTGCCCTTTAGTTCTTTACGGAGATGGAGGGGGTGTTTAGAGCATCTTGAGAGGTCAATTTGCAAAGGCCTGAGTTTTGTATCTATGAACACAAATTCCTCCCCATCAGAGTGGGTATAGAGAATGGGTCCATCCCTGTCCTTAGCATGATCTTCCACTGCGTTGAGGGAAAGTATCAAACTTTGGCCATTGATATTTGAAAAGGGGTCATCTTCCGGCTCTGCTGTTACTACAGTTCCTTGTTCCTCAGTGAAGAGAGCAGCATAAGAGTAAACAATAGGCACAAAGGCGGGAGCAGTAGGACTAAGGATTTTACGTGGTAGGGGTTGAAATTCTTCGGCTTGACCGGTGGGGAGGCTGTAAAATGGAGCTGCTTTAGTCTGGTAAATAACGAGCTAGTTGTTAGCTTCGGTAGAGGTGGGATCTCCATCAAATCCCTCTGAACTTGTGACATCAACACTTTGTTGGGCATTTACATCCTGCCGGGTTTCTGTAGGCAGGGATGAGAAGTCAGTTCCATTGGGAGAATGTCGCAGGGATTCCTGTTGTTTCTCAGATACAGACACCTTAGGGCTTACCTCAAGATTGGTAGCTCTCTTGGTAAAAACAGAGAGGGCCTTTGTGAAAAGTTTAGGGCCATCAACTAATCTCTTGGATTTTCACAAATTTACCCCTTTTATTAGAACCAATGGAAAGGTTAATGGTTCTATTGTCCTCTAACTTGGACACTGCCCAGCAGTTGAGCTTCGAGAAAAATGGCAGAGAACCCAAGATTCAATTAACAGTGTCCAAATCAAACCAAATATGATATCTTCTAGCTCCAAAATCAGAAATGCAAAAGTTGTGATTGTAGAAGGAATAAAAGAGCTCAAATACCTTATTATGTGTCTGGAATTTGAATCTAATGTTTCGGCTGGTTGTTGTTGAACAATCTTCGAATCTGTTGAGGCATAATCTAGATTCACTGTAGACATATTGGTCATGTTTATCCTTAGAGAGGGGATCTTTGAAAGGCCATCTAGGCAGTCATTGATGAAAGGAGGACCTCGGAAAGTTGCGTTTCCTTTGAAATCCGTCGCTTCGAGCATAGCGTCTGGTATATCTTGCCCGATTGCAGCAGATTTTCCGAAGATTAGGTGTATTGATGTAAGAATTGGATGGCCGGCGGTGGACATTCTTACAACCGCCGCTCCTCCTTCTCTCTAAAGAGGCCATCATATATATATATATATATATATATATATATATATATATATATATATATATATATATATATATATGTGTATATATATATATATATATATATATGTGTATATATATATATATATATATATATATATATATATATATATATATATATATATATCTATGTGTGTGTATATATATATATATATATATATATATAATGTAATATATATATAAATAACAATTCTCTCTCTACCAGCGGAGCTCCCTCTAGCAATGCCGGCGACCTCCTCAGGTGGCTGCTCCAGCAACATTCAAACCTCTGTAACCAACCCTCCCATCCCTAAAGCAACAGCATCACCTCCCAGCCACTTGCCATCTTCAGCAACCCAGATCTCCAGCAAGTCAGTTCCCACCCCTGGAACCCAGCAAGTCAGAACCCAGAACCCCAGAACTCCAGCAAGTCAGCAACCCAGAAACACTTACTCGGAAGGGGCCAACAATCTTCAACAAAGAAAAAGCTATGCTGCAGCCATTGTTTCTTCATCACAACAGGTAACAATCCCTCCTCTCCCTCTCAAACCTGTTGAACGTCTCAAAGGTCTTCCTTGCATCTCCTTTTCAGAGGAAGAAGTCACCCTACTGGCCTCAAGATTCTCTAAGGCCTTAGTAGGGTCTTTCTTCTTTGGGAGACCAAGCCTGGATTTCGTTAGACAGAGTCTGGAAAGAATTGGTTTCACAACCTTTTCTGTCACCCTTATTGACTACACCCATGTCCTCATCAACTTCTCCTCACAAGATGAATACCATAGATGTTTTAAAAGAAGGGAATGGAACCTGGGGTCTTTTAAAATGCTGGTTGCAAAATGGACTCCTAATTTTGATCCCAAAGTAGAGTCCCCCATTATGCCAATCTGGATTGGCATAAAAAACCTCCCCATTCACCTTCACTCACAGGACTCCCTACTCAGAATTGGGCAAATTTTTGGGGAACCTATCAAACTAGACACCACTACTGAAAGCTTTGGAAGACCATCCTTGGCCAGAATTTGTGTTGAAGTTGATATCTCTCAACCACAAATCTCAAAATTTTACATACAAAATGGTAACCAACAGCTCTTCCTTGAAGCCATCTATGAAGATCTTCCTTCATTCTGCCACACCTGCAAGGGCATATCCAGACACAGTGGAGAATGCTCCTCCCTTAAAAACAAGCAAACCCTTCTCCCAAACCCCTTGCCGGAACCTCAGAAACTTGGCCGGAATATTCCTCAAGTCTCTAAACACAACACAGTCACTATCTTCCAGAAGAAAGCACCCAAAAACACCCAAACAACTCAGCCTGCCACTAACCCCACTACTGCACCCACAATCTGTCAAACAAATGATATACCCACAACAAGTAAAGTCCAACACACCAATACCCCACCAAAGTCACCCATCCCTTCAATACCAAACCCAACCCCTGATCCTCTTAACCAGTCCCCACCCCATAATAATCCCAACCAGCAAAAACCCAACCTGTCAGAAACCAATGAACCAGAGATTGGTCCCACTCAAAACCCCCTAGCAACTTTCTCACCCCCAGCCCCACCTCCCCTGAACTCATACTCACCAAAAGCCCCTCCAAACCCATTAACCCTCCCTTTTCACCCTCAGACACAGACACAGAACTCCTAGAAGCTTTAATGAAGGACATCACCAACATATGCATCACAACAATGAAAAATAAACCGAGCCCTTCCAAAGATGACTCCCAGCTACAAGACCCTCAATCCAAATACACAGTTAACTACTTGAGTGACACAGAAACTCCCCAGAACTCTCAAGAACTCACTGAACCCCCCACCTACCATCAGGAAGAACCTATTCTCAAACAAACCACTGATGGCTTCACCACTGTTACAACAAGGAAATCAAAAAGACTTATTGAGAAATCAATAGCAAACAGTTCCTCCCACCCCAGTCATCAATGAATTGCCTCTATTGGAACCTCTGTGGGATTATTTCCAATAAAGAAAGACTATCCCTTCTGGTCACAAAACACAAAGTTAACATTCTTACCATCATAGAACCCAAGGCCTCCCCAGACAAGATAACCAAATTTCAGCTAGAACTTGGATTCTCCAACTCCATTACTAGCTCCAGCAATAGAATCTGGATCATGTGGCAAAACCATCACCTTACCTACAAGAATCACAGTGACATGGGTCAAATGCTCAATCTCCTCTTCCACTGCAGACAAACAAACAAAGACCTCCTAATCTCAGGCATCTATGGTAAACATACAAGGGAGGAGAGGAAACAATTATGGGATGCAATCAGCCATACCAACAATGTCTACCAAGGAGAGTGGATCCCTGGGGGAGACTTAATGCCATTTCCTCACTGGAACACCACAAGGGCAAGAGCATTCCATGCCTCCACAGTATACAAGATTTTGATAATTGTATCATGGACAATGGTTTAATCTCCCCCCCTTTCACTGGAAACAGTTTCACTTGGACAGGAACCAGATCCCTTGGCAGACTCTGGAAGAGATTGGACAGAGTTTTCATAAACCCCCAATGCCAAAAACAATATGATTTTATTTCCTCCCAACACCTCTCAAGAGGAAAATCTGACCACTGCCCTATCCTCACCATCTTACAAAACCCCCTTTTCACTGGTCCCAAACCCTTCAGATACATAAATTGCTGGGCTAATCATCTTTCCTTCAAGAATACTATTTCAGAAAACTAGGGACCCTACAAAGGAGGGGGGGGGATGAAAGGCCTAATGGACAAACTGGCTAACCTCACCTCAATTCTGATAAACTGGAACAAGCAGATTTTTGGTAACATCACTTCTAAAGTGATGGAATTTGAACAAAAACTTCAAGAAGCTGAGCAGAATCATGATATACAGCCTACCTTGGAGAATAGGATTCTGATGAATGAAACTAGAGCACACCTTAATCAAGCCACAAAAAATGAATTCAACTATTGGAAACAAAAGGCTGGAATCAAATGGCTCAAGGAGGGGGACTGCAACTCAGCATATTTTCATGCCATTCTGAAAGAGAAAAGAAATTCCCAAAAAATCCACAGAATCAAAAACAGCATAGGAAACTGGACTTCAGACATCAAAGAAATTCAAGAGGAAGCTTCAAATTATTTCCAACAATTATTCTCATGGGAAAACAGTTCTGGCCATGACACATTCCTCACCAACATCCCCTCCATCATCAAAGAGACAGACAACCAGATGCTCACTAAACTCCCTTCAGAAGAGGAGGTTAAAGATGCAATCTGGAACTTAGACCCTGACAGTGCTGCAGGTCCTGATGGCTTCACTGGAGACTTCTACAGAAAATGCTGGTATATTATTAAAGAGGATGTTCTTCTTGGGAATTCCTATTCCCAAATCTTTGGGAAAATCTAGCATTATTCTTATTCCCAAAAGTGACAATCCCTCCAGCTTTAATGACTTCAGGCCTATCTGCCTCTCAAACTTCATAGCTAAAATTCTTTCCAAAATTTTAGCAATGAGATTGGGCAGCATCCTCCCTAATATTATATCACCAGAACAAGGGGGATTCATCAAAGGAAGGCAAATCCATGATCAAATCCTGATTACTCAAGAATTAATTCATGGGATTAATTTCAAAACTAGAGGAGGAAACCTAGCTATCAAGCTAGACATGTCCAAGGCTTTTGATAGAGTTTCATGGGAATTCCTTGAACTGGTCCTAAGGAAATTTGGATTCTGCAACAAATTAATCTCCCTTATCCTCAACAATCTCCATGCCACTACCCATTCTATCCTCATCAATGGCTACCCCACCAAAGGATTTCATCCCAAAAGAGGTCTAAAGCAAGGCGACCCTCTTTCCCCCCTCCTTTTTATCCTGGCAGCAGAAACCTTCAGCAGAACCCTCAAACTCAAAATTGAACAGGGGGAGCTCACAAGCTACAAACTGGGAAGACATTACATGCCCATCTCCCACCTAGCCTTTGCAGATGATCTCCTAATCTTTACTAATGGGGATGCAAAAAACCTGGCCCTAATCTCCAAATTCTTAAGAGATTATGAACATGCTTCAGGCCAAAAGATTAATCTGCATAAATGCTCTTTCTACACCCCAGACAAAACCCCTCTAGTTCAAGCCACCAAAATGGGCAAAATCCTAAACATGCAAAGAGGCTCCTTCCCTTTCAAATACCTTGGCACCCAAATCTACAGAGGTATCAACAGAAAGATCTACTGCACTGACTTACTCAACCATTTTGATAGAAAACTTCAAGGTTGGTCCAAAAACCTCCTCTCACAAAGTGGCAGACTTGTACTTATTAAACATGTCCTAAGTGCCATCCCACTTCACATTCTAGGCTCTACTACACTTCCCAAAAGTGTGATCAATTGTCTCTATCAGAAAATGTGCAACTTCTTTTGGGGAACTAATAATGAGCACCACAACTACCATTGGATGTCTTGGGACAAAATCTGCAGACCTAAAGAAGAGGGGGGATTAAATATCCCAAGCCTTGTAACTCTCCAGAATGCCTATGGTCTCAAGATGTGGTGGACCTACATGAACAATAACTCACTTTGGGCTGAGTTTATTCATTCTAAATACCCCCATGGCCTCAACACCCCCCCAAAAATCATTGATTCCCCCACATGGAAAAGACTTCACTACATCAATGACATATCCTATGGTCTTATTGATCTGGACAGCAACAACAATCCTACCTGGGATGATGGAAAACCTGGTTTTTGTCTAAAGAGAGCTTACAATGCTATGAGAGAGAATTTTCCCATTGATACTTTTCTCACCCACTCTTGGAACAAAAAACAATATCCTAAAATTTCAATTTTCTTATGGAAAGTTTACAACGACAGTCTTCCATTTACTAACAATTTAACAAAATTTGCAGTTTGCCTCCCCTCCATTTGTTTGTTATGCAGGAATAGTCATGATAGCCAAAACCACACACTCCACAATTGCCAATTCAGCAAACAAGTATGGGCTTATTTTGAAGAACAATTTAAAATCACCAATAGGACAGCTCATGGAATACGCGCATACCTGATGAACTGGTGGCAAAGCAGGAATCACAACATCAATGAGCAGAAAAAGATCATTCCAGGGATCATTACCTATGAACTCTGGAAGGAAAGAAACCGCAGGAAACACCAAGATGAGGCAAAATCCATTCCACAGATCATACAATTGATATGGAATAAACTAATAGAATGGACCCTTGGAAAAGGAAAAGGCAGAATTCCCCTCACCTTCGAACACCTCATCAACCCGGCGCCAAACATCCATTCCTTCAAATGGAAAGCCTCAGGGATCACGCTAAACACAGATGTTGCTGTAGGAAAAGGTTACATGGTGGGAGGTGCAATCCTACGATCGGCAGCAGGAGTCTTCCTTGGAGGGAAAACGTGCAAGTTAAAGGAAACAACCAACGTGGAGGAAGGAGAACTAGAAGCAGGGCTAATGGGACTTTCCTGGGCAATCTCAATTGTGAAAGGAAGCCTCAATTTACATATGGACTCCAAAAATGCAGTCAAAAGAATCAAAGGTGCAAACAAAGAAGACCCGATTAGTCATGACATCAACATTAAACTTCAAGAAATTCAAGGAAGTGCAAAACATGTCTTTCGGGAAGAAAACACCGCAGCCCATAATTTAGCAAAGTTTGCTCTTTTAAACAATAAGTTTTTAGTCTATAATTCACTATCATCGCTCCCCAAAGCTGTCAAAGGGGCAATTAAATGCGACAACTGTTGTACTCTTATTCGAATTCAATAATATGAAAAAATATTTTTCTTTTTATATATATATATATATATATATATATATATATATATATATATTGATGGGTATCTAAACACTTGGCACAGCAAGGTCCTTAACCAAATGGGCAGGTTAATCCTCATCAAGCATGTACTAAGCTCTATCCCATTACACATTCTAGCAGTCCAACAAATGCCCAAATCCATTCACAACATCCTCAACAAGATGATGCAGAAATTCCTTTGGGGACACAAAGATGGGAAGCCCAAATATCATTGGAAGTCCTGGAGAAATGTTTGCTTCCCTACTTGCGAAGGGGGACTCGGGATTAGGCATTTGGAGGATATTGAAGCTGCTTACTCGTCCAAAATCTGGTGGAAGATCAGAAATTCTGAAGGGATATGGGGTGAATATATGAGAAGCAAGTACCGGCCAAACTCATTTCATGAATACCACACGGACACTGTCACATGGAAAAGAGCAGCCCGTATACACAACTGGGCACTTGAACATGTTCATACCATCTCTGGGACAGAAATGTGGGAGGGGAAACCATTCTCCCTCAAGCTTGCTTATAACTCCTGGAGGGATGCTAAGCCCTCTTCTCTCTTGTGCGATATGGTCTGGTCAAAACTACAAATTCCTAAAATCAGACTTTTCCTTTGGAAAGCTCTCAACAATCTCCTCCCCTTTCCAGACAACCTAGCCAGATTCAACCTTGCCATTCCATCTAGATGTAATTTCTGTCACAATGGGCCCCAAAACCTGAACCACTCTCTTTACCAGTGCAGGCACTCACACAAGATTTGGAGGTTCTTTTCTACTCTATTTGACGGACCTGTCATTCAAAGGGGGGGACACCATCCACGACGTCTGCATGAACTGGTGGCTTGGTACGTGCAAAATAAAGCTTATGGACAAAATCCACTCTATACTTCCGGGGATGATTGCATGGGGATTATGGAAAGCTTACAATGCTGAGATCTACGAACAAAAGGCTTTCAACGAATGCTCCATCATCACTTCAATCATGAAGACTATACAAGAGTGGATCTGGACTCACAAGGAAAAAAAATGGATGATCCTTGATGACAATCTCAAATCCTTGGGTCTACGCTCCAACCTACGCAAACCATCTAACTTACTCCTGTAATACATTTTGTAATCTTTGTTTGGTGGGTAGAACCCTTCTCCCACATTGCTGTAATTGTTTCTCTTTATCCATTATGCAAATATATATATATATATATATATATATATTAATAATATTTTTTTAATAATAAGAAAAGAAAGAACGTACAAGAGGGGGGGTGGCGCCCCAAAAGTAGGCCCAAAGAGTAAAAAGTACAGCCATAATCCAACAGGTACAAAAACCAATCAAAATAGAAGTCCAAAAAGCTAAATTCCAAGAGTCTTGCTGGATTCCTGTCCAAGATGCAGTGATAGCACATAAAACTTGTCTAAGATGGCCCCACTCTGCTCAAAAGAAAAAGGATTTTTTCTCCTTAATGTAGCCAAAACGGACCTTGACACTCCTTCTGAAAGGATAGTAAGATTCAAATTTCAGAAACCGTCCAACCCAGCGTAGTGTTGAGAACAGCAGTACACGATACTAGGACCAACAGCCTAGCAGGAGATACATCCAAGAGAGTAAAGTTATCTAGCTAAAAACCAGTCAAAAGTGGGCAAACCATACATAAAATACCAAAACGCCTTAATGCAGCGGGACCCGAAATCAGAAGAGGAGAAACTCTGAAAACCCAAAAAGCTATGTAACGAGCAGCATGAACCAATCAACCTATTACGGGGTTCCAACGACCTAAGTGTACTTGAAGATGTGCTTTAGGTAAGCCTGCTCTAATTAATATGATCCAACCACTATGTGAGCTGAATGACTCCCGTAGAAATCCAAAAAATACCAAAAAATATGCAGCTAAGGAAGCAAGCGTTGATAGAGACCAACTGTTTAATACTCTTGTAAAAATTCCCTGCAATAAGAGTGTATAACTCTAGAGTCATCATTTGCGTAAATTAAGTAGACCGGGAATTTTGTACCTTTAATCTTAACAGAGTCTACCGCCTCAATGCTTTTTTCTAATTGCCTTGTCATCCTGAACGCCTTGCCCTTTCCATTTTTCGAAATTCCCTTTTGCAACTTGTCATGCACCATGGAGATGGTCATAGCCTCCTTAAGATAGCAATAAGATTCCTTGAACAAGGACTCAAAGTGGTCAGAGAACAGGGGCTCCAAAAGTTTGAACTCTTCATCAAAATCTCCTTTACAACATATATCCAAATTGTATGCTTTGCTGCAGAATTCAGAGATATCCATTTGGACAAGAAGCCCTGGTACTGATATGTTTGAATTCGGCATTTCTGTCTTGCCCAAAATATCATCCAATAAAGGGTCTTGCCATTTTGGTAAAGCAGCGTCAGAAACTTCCTCTGATCCAGCCGATGTAATGAGCAAGGGACCTTCAATCATATGAGGCTGTGAGCTTGACACCTTCCTCTCTTCTCCTAGAACCGTAGCTCGTGGAGGGGGTATTTGACCAACTTGTGCATTTCTATTGTTAAGGGAATAATAGAGTCCCTTGATGAATAGCTTCAGAGAGTTCTTTCTAGCTCCTAAAGGGACGCAAATGGTGGATCTGGCTCCTTCAAAAACTGCTAAAATCTTCACAAAATCCCCATAATAATTTGAGCTCCAATTGATAGAAACCGAATTTGTCCCTTCGAATCTAGTACAAGCCCACTCAGTTGAGATGAAAATATAACTCTCTAGGGATTCGATTAACCATAAGGCCAAAGTGGTTGAAATTGAGATGGTGTGAATATAACCATTCTTGAGCTCAGAGATGTTGAGGGAGCCTGAGAGATGAAAGTCATACCTTTTACTTTCAATAATGATGGAGTGCTTGCCATGAGGTTTGGAGAATGGACCTGCGTAAGGGAGGAGTTGATTCACGCCTTTGTCTTTCTGCTTGAAAAACCATGGTGAACGCTCTCTAAAATTCCGCGAATGAAAGGACGCCTCATCATCACCTAAGAATCGCCGTTGACGCCAGCCTCTGAATGGGAGGAAATCCCTTCTTTGATTTCCGGTTCTGAATTTCCCGCGTTGGAGACGGAGAGCAGCGTTGTGTGCAGGAGACGAGTAATTGACGTGATAAGCCCAGTTCCTATTGATAGCTTGGGAGTTATCATCGCTAGAGAAGAATCTATACCCTCGGTGAAATCGGCGATGATGGCGATGATGAAATCCGATACCCTGAGATCTACCTTTCTCCCTCTCTCTACCGACCTGCATCTCTCCATATATATATATATATATATATATATATATATATATAATATCATATATATATATATAATATCATATATATATATGGGTTTTAGAGAGAGGGAATACTCTGGGGATTACGACGATCTTGATCAGAAACCCAACCCGATCTTTCGACGATGGGAATCTCGCCGGATTGATGGACACCAGACCTCTTACAAACCCCCTTCAACATCTGGACATCGTTGGGGTTTTAGTTCTAGAAAGCCAATCGAAGATTCGAGGTGGCAATACCCTTCAACGAAAGGCAGAAAGCGCAGGATCCAGAGCCACAATCAGAGAAGGGATAAGAGATATGATACGCAGTGGAGATACCTGAAGGAATCCAGACCGAGTTTTCTTAGCAAAAACAAATCCTTCCAATTTCGCATTGAGGATAAGGTATTTCGCTTCTTTCACTCCTTCTACCACAACAATTTTTGCATCTCGGAGTTTGGGCGTAGGGTATTCCATGTCTGGTTGAATTCAGCTGAGGTTAAATGGCTGACTGAGATTCTTCCCAATAATGCTTTACGGAGCTCTTGGACCTTCTCTAGATATGAGGGAGGAAGGAAGGTTTTCGTTTCTTATGGCTTTAATCGATGGGGTTCTTATGTGAAAATCTCTGTTACAAAGAATGTTGCTACCAATACTGTCATTATTCCAGTGGATAGGGATAACTCGTTCCTTTTCAGGCGTGCGCTTGACTCCTTCTATGGTAAGATTATAGTCTCCAGCACTAACAATTCGCAGGCCAAGGCGGATGATTCCTTTTCAGCCTCTGGTAATGATGAGAGATCTGCTAAGGCACTGGCTTCCACTAGTTTCAAGGAGATTCCTTCTTCTTCCTGCAACCATGTCCCTTTCTCCTCTTCCAACACGGAAGAGAAAGCTTCGGACTCTATTTTTCTAATCAAGGAGGGGACCAATCCTGATCCCAAGGACAAGAAACTTGGAGACATTTTTTCCCAACTTTGGATTCAATTCTTACAACTTAATGTTGATAAGCTTGCAGCTTTTATAGATGGTTCTGGTACCCTGCTTCTGTATTATCCAAACTCATTGGTAACGAGAATGGTAATCTTGTTTCCTTGGAGGATCCCATGGCTGCAGATTCTCCTTTAAAGGCTCAAAATACAGTGGAGGAGGAACCTGGTTCACCTATTGAGGCTCATAGTAATTTGGAGCAAGCCTCTTTAGATAAGTTGGCTTTGGTTGAATCTTTTGCACCTATACAGGCTATTTATCCTTTAGTGGAAAATTCTCAGTATGACCACTCCTCTGTTCGTGCTTATCACTCTGATTCTGAAATTTATGTAAAGGAGGACAACATTGCGTTTCTACCTTTCTTCAGAGATCAAACAGAATTTGATCCTGATCCGGAACCATATAGAGAGTGGTATCCTGATGACGGTATTGAGCCTGATGATCATCTTCGACGTTGGGGAGGACCTAAAGGACTTATGGCAGCCTTAATTCGTAATAATGATGAGGGCAGAATAATTTTTGAAAGAGGTTGTGTGTGTGGTTCCAGCCCACCTGCCCCAAGGAGAAGCTTAAGACTTGCTAGGAGAAGGCAACTCCCCTCTCCCATTCGATCTGAGTGCTCTATCGACACTGGAGAATATTGGGGGTCTTGACTTTTGTTGCTCGAGTTGGGAGGAGAGGTTCATGTTTCATTTTCTTCTTCTTATTGGGTTCCACATCCAGTTTTGGATTACTGTTATTTTGCTTCTCTTTTGCACTTTTGGTAGTCCTTGATAGCATATGACCCATGGGTTTAAAGGTTTAGGAAGTTTGAATAGGCAGTCTCGAGTCCCTGGCTTTGCTTCAGGTTGGTAATAATCACAATGCAGCAATTTCAGTTATGCTGATTTTCGAGTTGGGATCTTCTGGCTTCCTAAACCAAAATTTGGTCAGCTTATAATCTTGATTCCATCATGAATCGTGTATCTCCTTAGTCCTTTTTACTCTTGTAATTGGGAATTATATGTTGAGGGTTCATTTTTCTTTCAATTAATCAACATGGATTTTGATGTTTTTGGAGAAGCTGTGTCATTTTTCTCCAAACGCAGAGGGACCAGTATGCAGGACCGGATTTTAGGCCATGTACCAATTGGGTAGTAGATGGCAGTTGAGCAAGTGATTGTTGTCATTTTCTTGGTTGTCTTGGAAGCTCTGTCCTCTCCCGTTGTTTTTTTAGTTCTTTGGGTTTTTCTATGGTTTATTTTTATTCTCTGCTTTGGCCTGATGTTGGGGTCGGCCACCCCCTCCTCTTTGTACCTTTTTTTCTTCTCATTAATAAAATATCTCTTCTTTCAAATATATATATATATATATATATAGGCAAAGAAATCAGGTTTTATTAATGAAAACGGAACGAGGGGATACAATCGTGGTACAAAATATTTTTAACAACATCAGGGCAAAGGTTGATATGCCAGTATTCTTTGAGAGGGGAGTCTGATGTTCCGCCACCTTTGCGAGACCATCTGCAGCAGAGTTCCCTTCCCGTAAAATGTGAGAAACTTGAATCCCATTTTGAAGAATGAGTTGACCCAAAACGTCAATTGGGAAAGAGGAGACTGAATTTTTACTGAACAATGGAATCCTGGAAATAATGGACTTAGCATCAGTCTCATAAATCAGAGAATTGGAAATTAAAAGGGCCCAT